GTATTTTTTAAATAAAAAAAAAATTTTGAATTTACTTACTTGTAGCCAGAGTTAGAGGCGGTCAGATACTTATGACCACTACTGTAATGAAGATTTAGAAAATGAGACAGATTCACAGGAGAGTAATATTGACAAAGTGGTTTTTACAGATGATATAAATAGTAAATTAGAGAAGGCATTGGAATCATTTAGAATAAAGTTTGGAGTTAGTTGAGATAATTGATTAGTTTATTTACACTTAATTTCTTTATCAACTTTATTTAACTTGATTTATTTATATATATGAATGCATTATTATATTTATTTAATATTTTATTAGAATTATTTTATTTTTAACATCTAATTTACCAGGCGTACTATTATTAATTAAATTGGTTCAAATACTAATTTTATAATTGTATGCTTTAAAAAATCAATAAAATAATTATATTTGTATTTAATTTTTTTTGATTAGTTAATAAATTACAAATCAGAAAAGCTAATTTATTTGCCAGAATGCGAGGTAATTGTGTTCTTTTTTTTAAAAAAAAGAGAGAAAATATATAATTAAAAAGTTATTTCTTAAAAATTGGTTAATAATAGTCTGATTATTTGGATAAAATTATGAATAACTAAAATTGAATAAATTATTATTAAAGATGTAGGATGGATTAATATATAAAATTCTTAAATTATTAATAGAAAATAATATTTTATATTGTGTAATAAAATCAAAGATGATCGGCAGATGATTAGTAAAATGATCGACATTTATGTGATAGAATAGTAAAGTCTGCTATGCTTAATATTATAAAGAATATTTTATATAAATTATAATAAATATAAAAAAATAATTAATAAAAATAATTTACCATCTAAATTATTAATATTTTATTTTTAATAAAATTTTATTTATAAATTATAATAAATACAAGTAAAAATTATAAATATAAATAATTAACTAACTAAAAGATCATTAATTAATATTAAATATATTTATATGATAAATTAAGTTTAAATTATAACGTAAAAAAATAAATAACTTACTCCCTATAATATTATTGATTATTAAATATTTTTTAAATATAAATTAATTAAATTAAAATTAAAATATAATAAAGTTAAATGGTTTATAATCTAAGTATAATTATTATTAAAATTTTTTTAAAAAAAAAATATTAATTATTAAATAATTATATAAATAAATAATAGATAATAAATTTATTACCATCTAATTCTTCTAATGTAGGGATATCTGAATCTGATTATAATATTTATTTTTGAGAAAATTTTGAAATTAATATTAGTTGTATTACCTTTATCAATTAAAACTGTTTCTATTTTTGAATTTCAAACAAATAATTAACGGTATATATTACCTTCTAATGAAGAAGCTTTTTTAATATACGAAACTGGTTCTAATAAAAATTCATGAAAAAAAAAGATTAGAATATTATCAAGCCATCAAATTATCATATAAAGCTTCATATCTATTATTCCTTTTTCTTGGTGAAAATATTTTCTTTATTACACTATTACCTTTATAATTATTAGACATTTTTATAATTTATAATAAAAAATAAGTTTTTTTTTTTTAAAAAAAAAAATTGTTTACTTACAGTATATAATGATAATAGAATGTAATAGTAATACATATTGTCAAGGTATGTAGATCTTAACCATTTGTAAGTATGTAATAATTATAGTATTAAGGAGGATTTGTGTTACGGTAAAAAAAATTTTAGTTTTTAGATAATTTGTGTAACTCCAAGACCGGCCATTTTTATATACCTTATTTTTACCAAATACTAACACTAACACCACTAGCACTGACACTAACACTGACACTAACACTAAGAGATACAGTCAACTCTTTCTACAACGAATTTTGATATAACGAATTTTACAATACAACGGATTTTCATTGTCGGACAGAT